TTTGTACCAGATGATCGGATCTGGATGCCCTCTTTGTTCCACAACAGAAGCCAACAAGCTCAGGTCTCCGTTCAAAACTGTTTCTAGGCTGCGGCATCAGGCGCAATTCGAAGAAGCGCCATGGTGAGATTTGCAGTCTTGAGAGGTCACGGTAGCAAAAACCAGTATCTCCTACAGGAAGATGTGCACATACTGAATGATTTTTCAGCCAGTTCGCCATTCGGACCGGAAAATTGAAGGTTCATCAACATCCCTGGCTCTCCATACAGCGTTTCAGTCATTGCATGTGGTCCCACGCCTCTCCCACCTAATAGAGGTCTGCACCACCGTGTATCAATAGTTTCATGGTAGCTCCACTACCACCAGTTTTCAGCTCAAATACCTGTCCACATCCCAGTTCGTCACCGTGGTGAGTCTCTTCACTTGCGACACGCCTGGTGTATAAGCTCACAAGGATGTAGGTCAGCGACAGCACTGGTTTTGCTAGTGGATCTGGCGGGACTAGTCTAAGCATTGCTACTTCGATGAGCAGTAGTGACAACAGTTGTTTTTACCGAAGTACAGTCGTCATCCCAGATTTCCCATTCAACATATATCCCACCAACTAGGACGTACAATGCAACGCAAGTAGATTCAGACCCCACATAAATCGAAGGGTACGCTGTTCTCTCCCTTATATCAGACTCCTTCAAACAACATGTCCCAACAGCACTCCATCCTTCCACGGTGTCATCCCTGGTAGACAATCCTTTTCAACTCCCAAAGGCCATCGGATTACACGGGTATCTAACGGGGACACTGGGTTTAGCTAGATACCCTCTGTCCGCAAAGGCACTACCTCATAATAGTTGCCGGAGCGGTCAGGGTATATAAGAGCGACAGCTTTGTCGAAATCCACACTCCGGAAGTCACATAATGCAAGCGGTCGATCTACAGCTGCATGCGAAATGGGGCGCCACAGGTCTATGATTTGGAAGCGTTTGTGGAGGAGGGAAGGAACTTCTGTTGGTGGGTGTCTCAATTAGTGGTAGAACTCTGTGTGATAATGGCTACGCTTCAAGAGGCAGGTGGATTGGCATCCGTCTCATGTGGATTGGCATCTCTACTATATGTGGATTGACTGTCCGTCTCATGTGGATTGGCGTCCGTCTCGTGTGGATTGGCATCCCCACTATGTGGATTGACATCCGTCTCATGTGGATTGGCATCCCTACTACGAAACACTAGTACTGTCACAAAGCAGCCGTCAAGAGTACTGATACAAAGCAACCTTAACTCGAGCAACGGACGCCGCAGGAGTTTGGTCCATATGAGCCCGGGGGACTGGCTGGCGTTTCTCTGGGCCACTGTGACCCTCTTCATGAGGTCGATGCTCTCATGGTAGTATTCGCGCTCAATCTCATCATTTAAGAAGCTGGTAGTATACTTCGGCGCTTCTCTCCCATACTGAAATCCAGCATTGTCAAGCTCCTCCCTCCCGCACACGTCCTCGATTTGCACTTCATGCGGGTCCTCAATCCACTTGTGTAAGGCTGAGAGCCGTCAGATGGAGGCTGGAAGGGGTTGAGGGTGGTGATGGTGTTAGAAGCCATGGTTAGTCGTTTGGTACTTGGTGTAAATTGGAATGGAAGTGTCCTTGGTATGACTTCGACTCACCAGTGAGTCATGCCCTACTTATATATGCCTTCAAGGGCGGGGAGGCCACTTGGCTTACATATGACCTTATCAATTCTCCAGGTTCAACGCGGATGGTTAACGTAGATGAAATGATCTCATAAGCATCTACCGAACCACGGAATATGAGTGATGATGATCCAAAGTTGCACCTTGATTACTGAGTCTCTCTCGCCAAAGTCTGCATACTGCTCAAAGAAGATCTACTAGCATCGTCTCTGTACGCAATTCCCTGTTCTGTTCGGAAATGACTGAAAAAAGGTCTCTTGGTAAGTGGAGGGTCTCGATGTTCTATAGTAGAAGGCCGCGAGACTCGAGGTCTAAAGCTTCCTACACCAAGATAGCTCCGGCCTTCAGCACATGTACAGCCGAGGGCCAACCAGACACCGTTGGACTTCCCCTGCATATACTAATATTCGAAAAGTGATAACAAATTAAATGTATTCACTTTAAAAAGCATTCACTTGCGAATATTCCTAATGTTCTTCCTCCTTCACACTTTACATAAGCCAAAAGCTGTGCATTCCATTCTCATCTCCCAGTCAAAAACTATATCGCCTACGTTCATCTTATCGTGATTAGGCTATTTCGATCGTGGATATTTAAATGAAAGGATGTATCATTGTATACGTAGTGAAGCAGCGTCGGCGTAACTGGATAGATTTCGTGACAGTAGTGACATTTATTCTCATTATATCATAACCCATCGACAGTCCGTACTTCACAAATCAGGATACAGTGAGCGATTGTTGTTGATAGTCATGTGCAGGGTAAGTTGAAAACAACGGGGACATAGTGAATGACCATGGTTTTTCAAACTGGAACACAGTCGTCAGATGGGCCACAATTTGTCAATCATAAGATGCTCACATATATGGATACTGAAAGACCCCAGTGCAGCCCTCGCACTGGGTCATATCCTCAACAATCGTAATGGCAGCAATTTTGGATATTACGGCTTGGAGTTCTTTGCACTGATCTTTTGCTGCTAAGATCTGGTTCCGATATGTGACGCAAGCATCCATCTGTCCATAAATTTGTAAATGGTAAATTAAACGATCAACGGACTCGGAGGAACTACCAGAGGACCAATCAAGCTGATATCTCTATCATTAGACACGTGTTCACTGGTGCTTGAGTTGTCCATGTTATTGGTGACGATTACCAGATCTTCTTCTTCAAAAATGGCAGGGGTGTGCAGGATGGTTGTGCAGTCCCCATGACCCAAGATAACATCCATAGCAGCACGAAGACGACCTGTCACAAGCATAGCGGGAGAAATGTATTCACAGCCAGCATCATAACATCTTTGCTTAGTTTTATACAAAAGAATATCCTTTGTACGATGGGCGAGTGCTTTGTGTAAGTACTCTTGAAAGCTTGATGGCTGCTTTGTGACGACCAGTCAAAACCGGACAGCGCACGAGACCGTCCGGAGCCTGAGAGTACCGCCTCATGCACCGCCAACTGAAACTGCTCTCGCACGATCTCGACAAGAAATTTGGACAAATATACGATGCAAAGGTAGTCAATATCGTGCATCGTTGTGCGAGGATAGTTCGAATGGTTTTGACACGATGCGGCACTATGTTGTGTTTGTTACAGGCGGTTCATATCGTGCGGGAACGGTACATATCACATTGAAACTAGCTACTACAAAAATACCAACACAATCTCTGCAATACAAATCACATCCATAAGCATAGCACGAAAGAAATCGGATGAGAGAGGAATTGGCCCCGAAAGCACGGGTCATGTGCACTCAATACAACAGACCGTCGATAACACCCTGGATGATGTTCTGGATCCAAGCGAGAAACACTGAGCCGATAATTGAATAAATGCGACTGCAGAAGATACTAGGAGCACTCGAAGTAGGGGAGACAGCAGTAGTGGCAGCAGTGAGTATGATAGCTTCGATCGCAGATGCAAGAGGCTCCTTACTGATACTGACACGAGTGTTGGGTTGGGAGACGCTGACAGCGGAATCAAGAACATATGGTAGTGGCGCCGAACCATGATATATGTGGCCTACGGGGCATATCACAAAGCTTCGGTCGATGTCTAAACGCACTTGGCGCTCGTAAGGATAGAGTGGATCATGCAGAAGGTTCTGGCGGAGCACGGACTCCGAGGCTCGGAGCAGGGCAGGCCTGTGAGCATATGATAAGTTAAGCAGTGTTCTTACCTTCTTGAATCCACCAGGACGAAGGCACTGACCTCACAACATGCAGTATAATCGCGGTGCTTGGAACGTATGTCTGAAGCCAAGCACTCGCCATGGAGAGATGTTGCAATAACAAACTGTGTAGCTTGACAACTGAATGAGAATGCCCAAGTGCCAAGCCATGCAAAGAGTACGCCTGATTAAGCAGCTCAACATTAGACAAGAAAAGGCCGATACGAACCCCAGATTGACATGACCCAATAAAATCTCAAAGACAATGGATGCAGATCGTCTGCGAGACAATGAGACTGCCCCGCCGAGGGACGACCGACGCAGGCTTCCAAAAATCGACGCCATAAATCGATCGTCGAATCAGATGACGTGTCAAATGACCTTCATGCGTGACTTTGACTTTCCGTGCCGATTTGTCCGATGAACTTGAATGATTTGTCCAGTGTCTACTCATGGGATGAATGCAAGTAAGCACCATGCGCAGCTTCAACATGGTTGACGTCATCACGAAATATGCACGAAGTGTCTAGAAAAAGCAAAATGAAATTCACAGAAATTCCAAAGAAAAGCAAACTGAGACATTCTCACCTCAAACGCCAGACAGAGAGAGAGAACGAGGATTGTGAATAGAAGTCTCATCTTCCCGACAGACGGTGCGCCACGCAGCGATCCAGTTCATCCCAACAACTATTAATCAGAATCGAGAGCGCACGTGGCCACGAACTCGACGTCGGTGGTCGACGAAAAAAGTTAAGGCTCTGCTGTATTATGTAAGCAGGTCACGTGTGTACAGTGTGAAAGTCCGTCCCGCCGACGGTAACAGAGACCACGACGGAGAACTAGAATCGTATACCCCACACAGCCTGCATCTACTAAGGAGCGCCGTAAGTCGCCTGTACTTCCGGTGAGGCTGACGACTGAGCAGATTGACTCTGTACCAAGCCACGGGACACGAGCCCAAAGCCATACCCGTCTGGTGGGGGGCAGGAGACGCTGGCGAGGAGACGCTGGCGAGGAACACTTTGAGGTTGCTGAAGATGGGAATTGGGTGAATGGGTTGGTGCCTGAGAATAGCACTGGAGTGGGATCGGAGGAATCAAGTCAAGGTTAGTAAGCTTTATGCTAGAATGAGGGCTAATCATACCTCCGTCACGTTGTCATATGCACCGAGATAAGTAGTGGTGCTTGTGAGGAAGCTATCTGGAGGGGTGCTGTTTACTGTGCGCAACGTAGCACGTAGGCTTCTCCTCATATCCTTGTTCAGATCAGCTATGGCTTCTGATGTGTGGCTCTCGAAGAAAACTTGGTGAGCTAGCTTGGGCATGACTGCTGCGAGCTGAACGCTGTCTGCAAAAGGGCCAGCAGCGTGCAAATACTGGTGATGATTGTTGGGCAGGAAATTTGATAAAACAGTAATCTGTTTACCAGAACAGTCACGCCAACCAATGCATAGAAGATATCAGGTCGTCTCCTCGTAGCAGACTTCAGAACCCCAGTCATGACTAGTATAGAGATATTAGGTAAGTCGGACCAGATCTTCTGCAAAACATACCCGAGACAAATAGCAGATTGAATCTCGACATGTTCGAGAACGCAAGTGAGATCACCAGTGATATCGGCCAATGTGCTGGACGACTGTACATCAGCGGGTGTGCTGAACCCTCGAAACCACGACCGTCGATAGCAATCATGCAATACTCGCCCTGAAACAAATCAACATGACGGTCGTCGCTATGTTAGACGGTGCTGCATGACAGCACTGTCAGACTTACTACTGGCGCAAACTCTGGAACCATAATGCAGAAAACAACGATGTACATGAAGTCCGCGAGTCCGTGCACGATGACGGTCCGCTGGCTCTTCTCGATAACATTCGGTAATACAGTGAGTGCAGGGGGTAAGCTACTGTTTGAGTCAATTATTGAATGGTTTACGGAGATTCCATGGAGTCAGATACTTGGGAGGAAAAAGACCTTTTGGAGGGTATGTGACGTACTTGCACGTCGCGGCCTTCTTGTCGAGGTGGTCGAGGTGGTTCATGTACGTTTGACTAGATATCAATTAGTGAGTGATCTGCGAACTAGGTCCGAGTGAAATGGACAAACTTAAAAGAGAAGAGGGTTTTTTCACGAAGTCCAATGCAAACATTTCCTGTTGCACTACATACCACGAGATTAAGGCTGAGCTTCACGTATGAGCCCTTGAGAAGAGACAGAGCAAGTCAAAATGTCATTTACGATCATCCCTTGCAATGAGAGGTCTAACCGAGTCGGGTTTTCGTAGATATAGTTTGCGATATCTTCATTTGTCTTAGAGTTACGTTCAAAGAAGATGACCGCTGACTCACAAGGCACGTATCTTCCAGCATACTGAATACTATTCAGAATATGGTCAATACAATGTTTACCACGCTCTCTGAGAACTTACACGTTCTCGTACCAACAGGTTGTTCCACCCAAAGCACGGAGGACAGGTTGGTCCAGCTGTGTTGGTTCACCGTTGGTTTTGCCTGACCCTAGGACCAAGTGAAAGGCTTCAAACATCTCAGTTATAGATGAGTCTTGTCGTCAACAAAGAAGCTTACCCCATTCTCTTACAGCAAACCTGCGAGGGAGGAGCATCCAGGTCCACCACCATCATTCGTCCTTCAAGTGGAACACGTCAGGTCAGCAGCGACGAGCACACCAGCTTCTGATGACGAGAAGTCAATCTCCAGAGTCGACCTATGGGTTAGAACTAAGATTCGGTTTGAGAGCCCTCTCACTCCGTTATTTGCCTGTATTCCGCCGATGCAGCAGTCGTCTTGCATCCATGCATTAGCATACGAAAACGCGTTGACGTCTGCAGTCGGATTTGAAATAAGAGTTGTCCCAGTATCAAGAACAGCCGCATCGGACCAGCGAAGGAAAGAGCGAAAGAACCTGATCGGTAATTTGTTGAATCGGAAGCTTCCAGAAGTCATACTCGTTTGGTGTTGATGCGAAGTCCAGCGTGAAGAGGCGTGAATGCGAACTGGTCCTGCACCGCATTTGTCAAGGCGGAGTCCAATTCCCCAATCTGAGCGATGAACCTAAATACGAAATGTCCTGTGACTCGTTTCATCCTAATTTGAACGTGAACTTTTGATCGTCAAAATGAGCAAACAGATTGTCTAGGATGCATTATGATTTTTATTGTATTGAATCTCGATCAGTACTAGAACCAGCTGTGGCCGACGTTGATTGATCGATACTCAGTACTTTCTGACTGGCCTAGATATCACCTTAACTTCTTGTTGATAAGACAACAATCATTGCCACACCACCTGTCCGATATGCCAGAATCATGATCGATTAAGTTGTTGAGGGACTTCGTGATCATAATTGAAATGGAATCCTGACCAGCTGCAGCCTCACCAGCGGTGAATGTTGTCTGTAATCTCGGAGGCTTCCGACATTTTAAGCAGATATCTTTAGGAAGACTGATCGTTTCAATGAAAAGTGCGAGAAAAAAACACAACCGGAAAGACTCGGGAGAGTTTTGTAGTACGAGGAATACGTGTGAGAGGGAGAAAATCAGGGTGGGTGACGAAATAAGCTATATGCTAACGAGGCGACAGGACAATGGAAACAACTTCATATGCACATACCTAACTCGATGACGAACAAGTGGGAAGAGAGGTAATTCCGCCTTGCTCGGCATGTGCATCATGCCGAGAGCACATTGGGCGCGCGTCACACGGACAAAGGGACTGAAAGACCTGCACATGAAAACTCGATTGTACTATCGACCAATTAGACTTGCTGTGCTCCCTGAATGCTTCCATCAGTATGCAAATAAAGGGAGTCTGTGGCACCATTCCTGGTGATCGCCTTGCCTATGATACTGTCCGTCCAATATGGTCGCATTTCTCCAGAATGAAGGGATAGTCTGCATCGACTCATGGCACTGTGAGAGCGTGATTTGAATGATTCTGATCAATTAAGCTTTAAGGAGTTGACCTACTTCCGGAACTTCCAGATCAATGTTATCATACAGTGGGTTGCATATCAAACAGCAGTATAAGTATTTCAAAAATTTGGGGTCGTTACTTTTACCGGTGGTGTGACAACGTGGATGTCAATCCTCAATTCGCGTGTCATGCGGATTGTAATCCTCATGAGTCATTAATCATTCAACAATGCTTGAACAAAGGATCCAGTCGCATCGCCTGGCAATCGCTGGCGCAATCACTACTGAAAGGGAATTCTGCGGAATCATTGCAACAAGCATGTCAAAGAATTCGGTGAACTAAATTTACACGTTGTCCGTACCCCATGCATCCTTACAAAACTGCCACATAAGTCGTTCTTCCATCCCGCTGGGAGGTGTGAGAGTCACGGCCTCTTCAATCTGTGTTTGAGCTTTCATGAAGCCAAGATGCACAAAATTGCGAAAGATCTTGGCTAAGATAATGACTCCTAGCATTGTGTGAACCAAACGAAGACTTGTGTCGCAGCATGCAACCTGTGATATTGAGTTGAAGATACGTTTAATTCTAATCCATCATCAATAGTCAATCCTGCCGAACAAATCGTGACGCTTACAAATCCATGCATGCGCTGAGCGAAACAACTGCTGTCCGAGTCGTAACTGGCTCGGTGGTAAAGGGGGAGATTTGGGATGACACATCAGTGTCTACTTTACTGACAGCCGTCTCGCCGTCAGCTGCATGCCAGTGACCGGGGATGTTATCCGCACGACATGCGGAGTTCTCAGACCCCGATTGAAGTTCTGACAGAAGAGTGGTACCGGTCATGGTGTTATGGATAGTAGGCTGCAGATATGAATCGGGCCATCTATTGACAGAGTCTTGAAGGGCGGCCAAGTCGTTGGTAGTGGACTGATGGAATGTAGAGATATTCTGGAAAATATTATCAACGATCTGACCGATTTCTGCCCTTGTATCGGCTACTTCTTCTGAGAGTTTCTGGTAAAGTACTTTGCCGGATTGAAGAATGGCCTTGTGGTGTTCCACAGACTTTGCTATTACATTATGGAGAGCTAGAACAGACAATTCGATGGTGCTAATACGCTCGATGGGCTCCATTTTGGTATTGGACGCCACTGGTGCCGCCCTCAGCAAGCAGGAACGATATTGTTAGTATTATACAGTACGTACCCATCGCATTTTCAATGTCATGAAGCTGACGATGCACATTATCAAGCATATCTTCCAGTTTTGCTTGATTAGATGCCACTACATCTTCCAAATCCATAAGGCGGGAGGAGGTGCCTTCCTGCATAACAAAAGTTAGAAAATGATTGTAACGCTCCACAATAGCCTACTGCGATTTTATGGGTTTGCTTGAGAGATCCCTTGATTTTTGACACATCAGTCTGGATGCTATCAAATTTCTCATTATTCGCAACCTGAGTCTTTTCCATGGATAAATGGACATCAGTCATGTCTGATAAAGATTGTTTTCGTGATTTGGCTACTAGTAGTTGTTTGGCCTTGAATTAGTTTCAACACACCAACAATGAACATAGACTGGAGCATACCATTGCCCTCGGAGTGGTGGCCTTCATGACTCATGATGATAATACACTGTGAGACACATTAACAGTAGGTTGTTGCATTAAATGCTAAAGTCAGCAATTTATGACCTTTGTCCAGCTTTGTTGGACTGGTCGCTCATGCATCATCTCTCATGACTCGGCAAGTCTATGCGAGCCACAGCACCTGTTCAACTATCCGAAGAAACTGTTATTATGAAGGTGGAGAGTGAGACGATGATATATGTAGATACTACATGATGTAAATGAGACAGATCTGCCAACACTCCAAATAGATATTGCAGTGCCACAACCACCAAACTGGGCAGCGTTAATAAGAGCCATTGGAGATGGTGTCGTAGCGGGACGAACATTCTAACTGGAGGGATAACATGACTGAGGGATATTCTCTCGAGGACGAGACAGTGTGGGAGAGCTTTACGAGTCTTCAGGGAGAAATAAATTGAACTAGCTGCAGAGTACAAGAGTACACGAAGAGAGCATAGATAAATATCTCTGGAGAGATATCCCGCATACTGGCTGCCGGGCGGTGCACCTCGCTACCATACAAGCTCTATCTCCAGGGGCGAGGTTAGGGTTGATGCATCGATGTCGAGTCCCATAACAATCATCCACGATGTCAGGTTGGGAACTGGAATGAAAATCGGTTGAGATTGACACATGCAACAAGAACAAGAAACACTACGACCATAAGATCCACCCCACTTCGCAAGATGTACGGGAGGGACCGAAGGTCGTATTACGAGAGCCGAGAGTATTGCTGTGGAGTGTCAGAGCGAGTGTTTGAAAGCTCGCTGCACGCGTGTTTAGGAAGGTAAACAAATTTTAAGCAGACCATACGAGCGATCAGAAGATGACCTACCGGCTGTGGGAAGAGTGGAAGCACCGGGTTATCTTCACATCATACGGGTGTGAGCGGATTGGGATACTGCTTCTCGTCAGCCGTTTCTGACAGAAACGAGACAACACTGAAATTGAGGATAACCACGGCACTTCATTAGAATCTAATGCCTTACCATACGAAAAGTTGTTGGAGAGGTCAGCAGCATCCTCGATTCAGTTGTTTCCAAGCAGTGCTTCAACTTGAACAATGACAGTCGATTGAACCAGTGAATAACTAGATGAACGAGTGTCAGTGCGTGCACATACTGACGTGTTTTCGGTCCCGCAGTTTCAGAAGGATGCGCAAAAGTTAGTCAAGTGTGGTCGACGTCCAAGATGAAGCTATCCTGAGAATTACTTGTCGTGGTACGGGACACCAACCACTTTAGAGCATTTAGTCCTGCCGTATTGCATGGAAAAGATTTCTGGTTGCCGACAATCACTGCTATGTTAAGGTGCCGGGTATTGCAGCCTGCCGGAATATCCCGGTACCATGCGTCCAGCTGAGCGGTTGCGCCGGAACTTCGCTTTCCTCTATTCGTTTTTCCCTCTCTGCCACGACATCGAGTTCTGTCACCGTCTCTTGAGTCAGTCGAAGCTGAAGCATCCGGATCTTACTGTCTCCGTGCGTCTTATCGAGGTTTCTTATTGTCGTGAACAGATGAGCGGATTGTAGTTGCGCAGAACTTGGTGATTTACCAAGCTCTCAAATATTCCGGACACGCCCAAATAACTACTCTCCTTCAATTCAAGTACTTGTACACTAAGTTTTTCTCCGTGGATTAGAACGGTGACACGAATGATATTTTCGTGAAATAATGCGAGCGAGGTAGTCATGAATGTAGTTTCTATGCATAAGATTTCCATGATGTGCTTTACACAACCATCTAAGCGGTTTCGTTCACCAATTTAGCTCGTGTCAATCGCTTGTACCTCTTTACAGTTTTTGGGAGAACCCATGTGGGATTCCCATCCGAATGTAACGCTAAAATTCGGCAAGAAAAGTCCTCATTGTGCGTCCCATTATCTCCCGGCAAGATCGTTCTCCACACTGGCACCACTGGGGGAATACTCGCGGATCCAGCAAACCACTTTCTGATCGGTGCGGTGGAGAAACAGGTCACCGAGTTGTATATCGTCAAAAGATGAAAAGTTAGGAGGGGTATCAATAGGCTGTGGACCAGTGGTCTCGAACCATCCGTATGTTAATGTCGATGTTCTGCGCACAAAGCGCTTCAGATATACAGAACGCTCCACAGCATATTCTGTTGAGAGGGGTGCATTATTCGAAAGAACATCATCGACCTGTCAGACTCATGAGGACCAGTGTTCACCAAGGTCCAAAGATGACCAACTTACGTGGCTAGTATCTTCTGCTAAATTGGCACAGGAAGTCACGTACGTCATACGATCCTCGCCATGAGACAAATTATCACTACGGGTCATTACTGTACTGCCCTTTGTAGTGGGTGGGGTACATTGATGGACTTTGGAGGTTAGAACCGCATCGCTGGCGATGCTTGGGGTGACTTCACCGCTATCATGAGTATGAATGCTGCAGTTCCCATAAGAAATGCTGTACTATGAGATCGTGAGGAAATATGGTACATACTGGTCACAGGTAGTGTCTATTGGAAGCGAAAACCGCTGTCGGAAAGTTGTCTCGAAGATGGAATGTGGCCCAGATGAAACATCCATCAATTGCAACACCGTTGTTTGTCCATTCGCAATAGGAATTTCAGAGCAAAATTCTGCAATAATTATATTCTGCATAGGCATAGTTAGTAATGTGTTGAGCGACTTGAAAGAATGATGAGACACTCAATCTGTTTCTTTGTATACCGAGTCAATAGAATCTCGGATGCATTATCAGAATAGCGGGCGGGCGCATCAAGTCGTCCCCGACTGCAGATTCCCACGGATAGGCTTGCTAACATATTCTGCCTTCAGCGTTTGACGTGTCCAACTCAGACATTGTAGTAGTGACTTCGAATCCGCACCTCATCATCACCGGTTCTTATGACGTGACCAAGATATTATTCGACACCACTGCGAGATGATAATGGGCGGGGATACTTCGAATGCAGCGACAGCCGAGCAGGTTAAAAGATTCCCATCTGGTACTGATAACCTTGTCTACTGCAGGTCCGTCCTATCTTGCGCTTTGGAGACTTGGTTGCTTATGGCCATTGTTTATGTGTATTTTTGAACTATCAGAAGATTATTACCTCGCTCGCAAGTGATGGCTTTGAGTCGTCTGTTGATGGGGAGTTTCAATCATATGATGAAGGTTTATGATGTCATTCGTACAAGTGAAGGTCGTGCCTATTTCTAACGACAGCACAGCTCGTATAGCTGCGGTCAGCCCTTCACTGTTGCTTTAGAATCTGGTGCCTTCAAGGGAGGCACCCTCCTGCAATTAGTCGAGGACGCACAAAGTCCAAAATCAAGCCTAAATCCACTGGAGACTCGCCTCACAGAACGCCCCACCTACCACAGCTTTCTCCCCAGCTGATCCGCAGAACTATACACACCGGTCCTTGGACAATCACCACTCATCGAATTGGCTCTTGAGTCTTCATGCACCTACGAAAGAAAGTCGTTGCCAAAATTCGGTTCAGGTCAAAACGGCACACTCGAAATGATTTGCGTGTCTCCATTGACTACCGCATATATATAGCGGGCTACACGGCTTGTACTCTACGCATATACCGATATATAACTTAATATTTCATGTTCGTCACGAACATCCATGTAGGAAGTCGATGATTTGTCGAAGGATCACATTTTTTGATGATGTTCCACTTTCTGGAGCATGATCAGTGGCTGCTTCATTACGTTCTGAGTGTCACGCTCAAGCATTTATGTGAGGACATAATCGACCGTCTGGCGTGAATAGTCCGCCCTTCCGAGTCAGCAAGGGTTTCTTGTGCATTCACCGCCTCGATATCTAGTACATCCACGACCTCATTCAGGCAATGATGAGCATTTTCCTGCACCTCGAGTAGTTTGTGACCCTACTTGGGTATTGATAGTGTAGCAATGATTGTTAAGTACACGATACATGGACAACAATGGGATTCAGTGTAGTTTAGCTAGTACTAGGGTCATAGCATCTCGAATTTCCTTCAACGTGACCTTCATTTCTTCAAATTCTAGCTTCATGAGGGAAACATCCCCATCGATGCGATTCACCGCACCACTCATGTCGTGTATGAGAGTACGAGTATCGTGCACGAGAGTACGAATATGTTCACTACTTGTCATGCTGTCCTGGGCCAACTGGTAGGTGGCGTCTAATGTGGCTCCATGCGCTAACACTTTTTCTGTAATGTCGGAGACATCCGACGCCAAGGCTCCAACTATGGCCTCGGTGCGCCTGACAGTCTCCTTGTGATCCCGGTAGCTACCTTTTCAGTGTCAACATCATTGATTAAATTCAACATTGCAACACACATACTTGCATCTATCGCGATTAGAGTATGAAACTCGCTGAGGGAGATACTGTGGCCCGTGGACTTGGAGTGGGGTATGCTAAACGTGAAGCTGCTAGGGGATGCTGTTGCCGTTGGGCCCATCAGTATAATGTATAGTAGCGCCAAAGGAATAGATACGAACATGCGACGTTAGCCATGCTGACTGGTGTATTTCTTCGGGACCACATATTGACCCGAATCGTAATTATTATATGACATGTGACAGCAGTCTATATTTAACTCAAAGGCAGAATCACACATACGTAGTCCAATAAATGGAGGTAGATATTCTCCATCGCATTGTTCACCTGATATATATCGATTCTTCAAGCCATGAGGCTTGCCTCGAAGTCATGCACCATTGCACTGGCTCCTGATCGCCGTGCAGACTTCCAAATTGTTTGACAGTCCCTGGCATTTACCGTCCGCACGTTTAGCCTTCCTTCCAAAGAAGGCCTGGACAGACAATTACGGCCCGGGATACCCAACCCTGCCAGGCTCCTATGATAGCATGAAGGCAGTGGCTTCGATTCCTCCGGTTCTATCAGGCAAGCACCTTCATGTGTGGTCCAAACTCACGGGGTCGATTCAACAGTCTCAGGTGAGATTCCCCCCAAAATGGTTCGCAAGATCCGTATGACAGTCATAGGGAATCTTGCCCACCGGTCCAAGGAGCAAGTGGAAGAAGCCCTTGTGTCTTCCCTTCCAAAATGTACTGCCAAGATTTGGTGCGAGAGTGATAAAGGTGAGTGGTGGAAGATCCTGCGGCCATTACTGGTTAGATCACATATGGAACGTCTCAAAAATTATCCATACCTGGCTTGTCAGAGGGTGTAGGAGATCCCGTGCACTGGAACTTGCAGCTGTGGGTTCAAAGTTGGGAGACTGTCGAGCCCTTGAACTTCGACCGAAGCGCTTGCCGAAAAAACACCATCATCGTTCCGATCGAAAGGCTGGTCAACTTCGATATTCAGACTAATCTGTCAAGAAGGTACATTATGCAGCGCTGCGGCAGAGCCGAGATTAAGACAGCCTATCGAACCCGCTCACTGAAAGTCCACCTGGACAGTACATATCATTTACTCCAATGTCGAAAGTGAGACTAAATTGACATAAGCTTAAGGCGATGGTCTCTGAGTTGCAAGAACGGGAGCAAATTTTCAAGAGGCGCGAGTGGCCAAGGAGACGAGAGAACTGCAAGTGGGAATGAAAATGTGAGAATTCGCGAGGAGGGGCGATGAATGCGGGAGTAGAGGGAGAAGGAGCTTAGCTGCAGAATCTGGAACGTCAATGCGCGACGTCGAACTGGTGTCGAATGGAAAACCCCCTCTCTCCGCCGCCTCTCATTGATTGGGATACAGCGATCCGTGTCACATATCCATCATAACATCCGCACTTTCTATGGCATTTACACCCGCAGCTCGCCTTTGACGATATGGTGAGATGAAGGGACGGCACTGCTCCGCAGGGGACGACTTTCTCTCGAGTTTTGTATGTCTCGTGCACTCGGTCAATCTATTCAATCCACTGAGTTTTTGTGCGTGAAGCTGAACGCGCTGTAGGGATTCATTTCTGGTTGGGCTTGTAGAGACTGTTTTTACCTTACCTTATGTTGGCACTTTTGTAGCTTACATAACCAAGCAATCTTTTCACCAGTTACCAGTATGAGTCTGAGAGATCAGCAAGTTTTTATGATATTTCCTCTCCTCTGAGCCTTGAGCCTGGTCCAGAAACCCTTTAGGGTCGAATAGCAGCTAGGTTCTGCAAGACCCAACACATTGTTCAGACTCACCATCTGAATTGTTGTACCTTCAGCGCACACTAATACTGGACGCAGGAGCTGCTGAGGGCGGCCCATTGTCGAAGCGTTGGCGTAGTTCTACACGAGGAGACGAGCAGGGTGCGTAAATATGCTGATTATATGCTCTTGCTTGGATTACTCGGGACCTCGTATGCCTCCTTCAATTTTGTCATTTTCAGTTTCTCTTAACTTTGACATGAACATGTACGAAGTAAATGTCGAACTCGTCCTCTGAGCAAGGGGTGATTAATATTCATTGTACAAGGAGGCAGTCTCGCCTATGATATCCTTGAGACCCTGCAATTGAGTTTCACTAGTGTGGTCCTTAGAAGATTCAATGCCGAGAAAGCGATTCTGTTGAATGGGGTTTGCATTGCTAAGAACATCATAGGAAGGTGCTTTGTACGAGATGTGTCGTGAGAACGGTTCATATTGACGTGGCGGTGGGTCGTACTATCTGAGTTGAACGTGAGACCTGCAGAGATGTTGATAAGCTAACTTCAAATGTTAAGATCATAAAGGGTCCTCAAAATTGATGCTCGGCTAGATCAAGATAAGATGATTCAACCATGGTGGGAATGTGACGGTTTGAAGTGGTACGCCCTGGTTGCCACTGTGGATTCCTCACAATCATTGTTGGGAGTAAAACAAAGGGTACAGCCCTTACTCGGGAAGTTGAATAGATGTTATGCACACTCACGCAGATCGCAAGTGTACTTGATCGTCGATATCTCTTGCAATAGGATGTAGTACAGTTAACTTGCAGGCGGGACCCCTGTATCCTGTACAGCAAGTGAACAATGATCAGAAAACGTCAAAACCTATTCGGGCTTGACTTCTGAACTCGTGCACTGCAACGTGGGGTCGAGAAAGCGAAACTTCCAGTATGCCTCATGGGAAACTGTCTGGACCAACAAAGGACAGCTCTAGCCTTAAGACTTTACCCGAGAGGGTCATCGGTAGCCGCTGACAGCAGTTTGAACGCGATTTGAACAAAGGTGGTCAAATAATTCAGAATATGCGTGTAATGAGGAATAGATCTGGGGCGAAATTACGCTGGAGTACTGGTACGGAACTACCGATCTCTCTGCGAGCGAATGCGCTTTCCGAATTGAACAGCGGGACCTCGACTAATAGCAATAATTATCAGACAAAGGACAGGTCTTGTTGAAATTAAAGCTGTACGTACCCCCGTATTTTCTTCTTGGGTCTCTCCTCGTGGGCAAACCCTTCTATCGGCTTGTTCTGCCTAAACTTTTCCATGCACCAAAGAATATACCTGTGTTTGTGTATGACGATGCACTGGTAAGGAACAATATAGGCGAAGAGTTACGGACCTCCGGTCTTGGATACTCAGCCCAGCATTCTTCATATCCCATCCTGAGGTGCGCCAGAACGCGTCCCAGCTATCTATGGATATTTTGGTCTCTGAAGAACGACCGATGGCTTTAAGAAAGTCTTGCGGCGTAGATATCTTGCCTGGCCCAAGCTGGTAAGTATAACGAGTAAAAACAGGCGTTTGACAATTAGACCTCTTGGACTTGGAATGTCGGCCCTCCGGGGAACGTCACATCTCACTGTTGTAACTGTTCTTCTCTGAGCATTTTGAATAAAAGGGCGAACAGGGCGAGACAATGGAACCTTGGACAACGAAATCCTAAACATCTCGGAGTTCTTGGAAGCACTGAGACGGCTGATTGCATCTCCCGGCCGGCGTAGTAGACAATTCGAAGTGCATGGATGGATTTGAATGTGACTCACGTGTGTGCGCTTCTCGAACCTTCGCTATTGTTGTCGGTTGTATACAATTGTCCAGGAGTCTGAGTCCTCCCAATACACTGTATGTAATATGTTGAGACTCTTCAAGTCATCGCGCATTCCTTGCTTACATAATGCCACAGTTGCCGCTCCCCAATGAGAGACCCTCTCGGCTTGCTGAGCGATTCTGCAATTCCTAGGAACGTTTCGACAAGTTGTACCTTTAAACACACCTCACATGCGTTCGTACGGTAGCATTCTTACCGTGTCTAAGGCCTGCGTATATGAAGACACGACTATTGCTGCTGGTGGGCCAAAGGATCTCTTGGGGCGTTGTTCTGGATGTCAAGTGCAATTTGAGTTATTCATCGCAAGGAGGTAGAATTCTTTCCAGTGGGAGCTGCTCAATTCATTCGGTTTGCGTTTACTTAGGTTCAATTATGACACTGATTACTGACGCTTACAACGTTCCCCCAGGTGCCTTTCGAAAATCAGTTCCCGTCATTCGTCTGACTTACGTAATTTCCTTTTGGCTGTGAAGGCTCTGGATCTCGAAAAGTCTTTTGAACAATATCGCAATGTCCACTTATCTGCTCGTTCCACAGCATGTGACGTTTATCAGAACTCTTAAAGACGTAAATTCTTCCGCTTCTCAGTCAACTGATTAATCTCTAAGCTTTCAAGAAGAGCAAACATGAGCTGTCCTATCATCTCTCAGCTCACCTAAAGATGAACGCAGTGTACTGGGGCCTGACTGCTCTTTCGATCATGGGACATGGGGACGCGTTGGATCGCGATGAGATGGTAGATTTCGTTATGAGCTGCTGGGATGAAGAAGCAGGTATGTTCCCATCAAGAGATCCATGCTATCTCGCGCTCACATTCCGCAGGCGCTTTTAGCGCTCATCCTGATCATGACGCGCACCTCCTTTCCACTCTCAGCGCGATCCAAATTCTGTTGATGCAAAATGCGCTCAATAGAGTCGATATCGACCGCGTTTTGAAATGTGCCGTGTTTATCTATCCTCGAATGATTTACATCACTGACACGACTCAGTTATTCTATCTTTGCAGACACCGTCTGGAGTTTTTGCGGGCGACGCATTTTGGGAAACTGACACACGGTTCGTGTACTGCGCGGTCAATGCTCTCTCGCTTCTTGGCAAACTCGATGCGCTGGACATCGAGAAAACAGTCGCATACATCAGGCGTTGCAGAAATTTTGATGGTGGATTTGGCCATGTTGCGGGTGCTGAAAGCCATGCGTCACAAGGTGAGCCTCCCAACGCACACATGATTTCAGAACGTTGAAGCGCTACAGTATTTGTTTGCGTTGCGGCACTCGCCATTCTGGACAGATTGGACGAGGTCGATCAGCCAACCTTATGTTGGTGGTTATCGGAGCGACAACGACCAAATGGAGGACTTAATGGGCGCCCTGAAAAGCTGGAAGATGTGAGTTTCTATATACATGAATGCCCTTCAGTGTTCCTAATTCTCTGTTTATAGGTTTGCTACAGCTTCTGGGTGTTATCCGCCCTTGCTATCCTTGATAAGCTCGCATGGATAGACTCAAGTAAGTTGGAAGCTTTCATTCTCTCCGTGCAAGACACCGAGTCTGGAGGTATTGCCGACCGCCCGGGCGATATGCCTGATGTTTTTCATATGATATTTGGCTTGGCCGGTGCGTCAGGTGTTCTAATCTCAGAACTAACCTCAGAACAATCTTCTTGACAGGTCTGTCATTACTAGGATACCCGGGACTAGTGGACCTTGACCCTGGTGTACTGCATGCCTGCGAGCATCATCGAAAATTTGGATCTCAGGAAGGGGTGGAAGGCTTTGCAGAGAAGGACTTCGTGATTTGCATTGGGATTGTATGGAAAGCAGGACAGCGGTGCTCATTTTTCGTGTCACAAATCCCTATTAGGCGGTAGGACTTCGGTCATCCCATGTGCGTCGAGTATTGTTAATAAAGGGGCATTTCGAGCGGGTACTAATAGTGTTACCATACTGCTAGCATGCGGTACGCTTCGTTTATCTACCTACTTTATGATTCTGACTACCCTTTCTAGATTTAATCTAGACCACTGACGAAAGCAACACTGGCGTACAGGCAGTTGAATGTCATTATGTCGCGATGATTGTCAGCTATATCCCGACAATATGCTAGCTAGTCGCGACCAAAAACAACGTCACTACATGCATGTATGCGTGATCGACCACGACAAACGAGAAATCAATCGAAAAGTTGAGAACGCCATCCAAGATTTGACAATGAGAGCACAAATGGGAATATCAAGCATGGGGTTGCTATGTCGAGGACGCCGAATGACAATTTGCGATGTTACAGAAGAGACATAACGATAGCTATAGGAGATGAGCATAAAGGTATGGAATGGATAGCCACAATACTGGTCAAGCGTGCGTGAACCTGGGTATGATATATAGGCAAGGCGCTCGAAGGCTGTACTAAGTGTCACACCGTATCTATCGATAGCTCGTCTAGTCACATTGCTTTTGGTTGAGTTGGTTCCTCACTGGCATGCCAGTGAGCGCTGAATCCACTTATGCACCGGTGTCTGCATCTCGAAGAGATTTTGCAAGAAATCTTCAAAAATGCTGACTATTTGTCGTTGACGGTTCTTGCCAGGACATGTCGATTGTTTTACGAGCCCGCCCTGAACACCATTTACTGGGATCTTCCAGGGCTCCAGCCATTAATTGAGCGTTTACCCCACGTTTTGTGGTCAACCAGGTCCGGTGAATTGGTGAGTTGTTTGCATAAATGGTGTTCTCTTTAACAATCAATGTATCATTATGTATGAGACTCTTCAAGTCATCGCGCATTCCTTGCTTACATAATGCCACACTTTATTTGGTTGAGTTGCCGCTCCCCAATGAGAGACCCTATAGTATCTCACTTTTCAGTCGCCATCATTTCAACCCCAAGTTGCACTTTTGCTGCTACACCCCCTTCAAGCACGGCCCTCTGCAACAGACGCTTTGCAGGCGAGGTTTTTGATTCCATGTGGCCCTTTGCCACCAGTACTCGTCCGAGTGCCCGAGACACCCGCAGGACACGCATTTGCAAGGCACGGACCTTTTTGCGGGTTTCTGCAAGGTCGGCTGGAAGATGATAAATATCACTTGCACTGGAATCAGCGCATTTTTCAAGTGCGGCAATCTGTGCTGTGCTCTCCTTAACCAACCTCCGAACGTGAGCAGCAGCCTGTCTCTGCATGTTTGGGATTAGATCTCCCTGTAGCTTCTGAACCTCCACAGAAGCTTGAGCAGCAGCAGCCTTTGCACGAGCAGCTTTGCGGCGCTCGTTTCGTAACAGTGAGTAATACAGCTTCACTTTGTTGTGCGCCACCGATAACTCCTTGTTTGCAGATGCAAGACTATGCTGCAAATATGCAATAGTCTTTGTAGCATTTGTGGGTCGTGTAGCTTTCGTGCTGATCTCGAGTTTCTGCCGCTGAATGTCTTTGTCCCGCGCAGTTACACCAGCCGTGCCAGAGTGTGAGCACATCTTACGGGGTGATGGCAACCCTGATACCCGTGGTTTGGTCATGACCCTCGCTGGCATATTCTCTTTCTCCGTGGGCCATCGCAGCTGACGTGCGTGCTGCATTGCTTCTGCATCTTCACTCAGCAATTCACCTGCCTTTCAAATACAGGGCGACACGTAATACGACGGACACCTTTCTCGATCGTGTCTACTGTTTTTCTGTCTTGCAAACACTTTGTTCTGATTTTTTTCAATTAAAATTCAATAGCTTGACTATGCTTTTTGGCCTGTAGCGTGAAATCTCAATACATTTTGAGCTTTAAATCAGTACAAATGATTTGTTTCATATCTTTCTATGCCTAATATACATTGTGTTATCATATTTCGGTGTTGTTTTCTCTCTTTCATGGTGTGTCGCCATGCTCTATCACAATCAATTCACCTATTGACCATGGGAATGAAATGGATCTAGCAGACTTTGCACCTCCCCATAGCCACTACACCAACGCTGATGCGACACAATGCAATGGCAGATACAAAGCAAAAAATAAATATTGTTATCATCTCCTCTCCCACTCCTTACTCCATTGGTCACAAGATTGACTCATGGTGCCCTTTCTTAGAGCTTTTGGTCGGGTTCCAGCTATGTCTTTGTTTGCGATTGAGAACTGAAAATCAGAAAAAGACAAAGGAAATTCAAGGCAATAATTTGGTATTTAACCGGACTGACGCACATTATTATTGTCAGCCATACACATTCCCTCCCAATAACGCGCTAGTAGCACTAGCTATGATCATAGAGTTTGATGGTGAAGGCAATGCTGAGGTGAGTACTCAACACCTTCGAGCATTGATATCGTGTAGATGAATTGCCAGAAACCCTCATCTACTGCCGTCTTTATGGACGCCTCACAACCTTCTCTTCAAACACCTTCTTGCCGTCGTCGCAGTGCTGTACCCCTACGTCCCAAGGGACAGAAGAATGTAGACCAGCATCAGGTGAAGGAAGCGCTGTCAGCTTCGAGCTACTATTTTTTTGATGTCATCATTCGTGCAATGAGACTCTTACGCATACCATTATCTGTACTACTCTTCCTCTGGATGCTGGCATTTACCATGATGCGCATTTCTAGTACGCTACACACGGCATTTTCCCCAATGTGCTTCCTTCCTTTGGTATCAAGGTCGGTGTTGTGCACCCAGTTGGTATTAGTGCGCAGCCCACAGAAAGCAGACTTCCCCCACCTTATGCAATACCAAAGCTTGATGTTCGAGCAAATTTTGGATGGATCGGCTGGAGGATCTGGACTTTCCCTCGAAATACGGAAGGCAGAATTTGCAACAGCTGATCTTGCAACACTGGTCCGCAACAGCAACCTCCTCAAGTCTAACGATGCGCTGGCTGATCTCCTGGCAACATTTGTCAGAGATGCCAAGATGACCGCGAGGAGTCTCACCAAACTCAGTTCAAAAGTTGCCAGCGCAGTTGATAAGTGAGTTGTTCATACTAATTCCGTTAAAGACATTCATACTCATCTTCACCAGCATCATGGCAGTAAATCATTATGCAATGCGCACCGTAGAGGATGCAGACAAGAACGCGGCATCACCGTATTCGATCACAGCTTTGGCTCCATTTCGCACTGCACCCACCATGCAAGACGTTATAATGGATGCATTTTCCAGTGCCATGGAAGCCTTCTCGAGAGCCATACAGCGGCTAATTCTGGAAGCCGAGATATGTCTGTGCACAACTTGAATATGCTCGAGGAAGATCTGTCTGCCATACGGGAAGCTGTGATACGAGAGGATGCATTTATTACGGCTGAGAAGTCTCTCCTCCTCGAGGCGCTATGGACCAAGTTGGGTGGAAACCGACGCACGCTCAGAGGTTACGAGCAGCACGCAAATTTGCTCATGGATGTCAATGACTATCGCAAGCAAGCACAGGTCCACATCATGGCTGTGCTCCAGATTCTATATTTGATGAGTGAGGATATGGAAGATTTACGGGAGAGGGCAGCAGCCCCTGAACTGGTTGATGAGCGGATTCCAATCCAAGTGCATATTCAGAGTATTCAGAGTGGACTCCAGCGGCTGCAGGAAGGCCGAGTGAGGGCAAAAGAGAAGGAGGAAGATGTAATGAGGAAAGCATTGGGGTTTGCAGCCGATTATAGCTTCTAGGACGCACATGTTATTGCATTATGTGACTTATGTCAGTTTTGATTTTCACGTTTAGATTCGTCCGATTTTGGCGACCCTATTTTTGCCGCTCTATATAGTGAAGTAATTGTTGATTCGGATCCATCTAAAACCTAGGCCGTTGCTAGACTCCGCTCGCACTAGTGCTGTCTTTAGCTGGAATCCGCATCATCATGTCGTTTGTTGGCCGCTTGCACTTGTATATGTTGTTTTTAACCTCAAATCATGTTGTTATCTTGTCTCTGCTTCGATCGCTCGCTCGCAAATATTGGTCATTCGGGTGTAGGTTCGCTTTTCTCCGAAGTTCTCACGGCCTCTTATGAAGCTCGCTCGAAGGGCACCACCGACGTCAAGTTCGTGGTCACGCGCGCTCTCGATTCTGATTAGTAGTCGTTGGGATGAACTGGATCGCTACGTGGCGCACCGTCTGTCGGGAAGATGAGACTCCTATTCACAATCCTCGTTCTCTCCCTCTGTCTGGCGTTTGAGGTGAGAATTTCACAGTTTGCTTTTCTTTGGAATTTCTGTGAATTTCGTTTTGCTTTTTCTAGACACTTCGTGCATATTTTGTGATGACGTCAACCATGTTGAAGCTGCGCATGGTGCCTACTTGCGTTCATCCCATCGGTCGTCCCTCGGCGGGGCAGTCTCATTGAGAGGGTTCTCAAACCAAATCTTAGTTCTAACCCATAGGTCGACTCTGGAGATTGACTTCTCGTCATCAGAAGCGGTGTGCTTGTCGAAGAGCACATGCAAAGACAGTCAGCCCCAAATTTATCCCTCAGGAACGAGCAATTTACTGATGATGAGCTCAACAGGGCTCGTGAAGAAGTAGACTCATCTGTGCTGGTCCGGTCGTCCTTGATACCTGCGGAGAACATTGGAACACCAGCACCGGCCCCACACAGAGCTCTCGATAATACACGGAAGTCGAGTCTAGCATACAATGATCTCGGGAACTCGTCTCCGACCGAAAGCACGTCCAGGATGGGTCAGACTTCTTCCCCAGTAATTGACCTGAAGGACGGATCCTGTGGTCAAATTGTAGGCACGGAACTACCTACTCACAGCTTCTCGTACGTAGCTTCACCGCCGTATTGCCCCCACTGACGTTATCCAATCCCCCGAATGCTTATGTCGACAACAGAATGCCTGTATCAGCAGATTATATGCCCCAGGATCTGGAGGGCAGAGGAGACTATCATGCACGGGAGGTGGAGAGTGAAGTTACACTCAAATCGGAGTCTTATTCCACTGCCGTCGAGAGTGTCAGGCAGTCAGAGAGTGCCATGGTGTTGGACGCTGGTGGACGGTCAGAGAAGGACGCTAACAATGATGTCTCATCCCTGTCATCAACTTACGCTGAGCGTAAGCTATCTCTTTCGTAAGTGACAAAATTCCATTCAAGTTTGAGCTGCTAACAATACACCTTTTTCAGTGAACCGGACGTTCCACAGGATACGGGAATCAAGCCCATTCACTCTTCCTGCGAGCACCAGTCCTCAGAGATTAACGTAGCTTCGGATGACGAGCTCTATAGGCATCGCGAGTGCACAGACTCATCTGCCATCGTCTGTTCATCCGTGGCACACGAGGAAAACGATACTTCAACCAGAGTCATCGCGGTCGAGAGCACCCAAAAGTCAAGTACAGCGTCAAACGATATTCAAAATTCATCTTTCGTTCCAAGTACTTCGACGATAGCCGAGAGTTCCTCTCTGGCTTCTGACGGACACGAGGGACTTTACGATCAAGACGTAGCCAGGGACAAGTCTAGTCAAGTCTCCCCGTACGTCTTTCCTACGCTGTGCTTACTCTCAACTAAAATTATCTAGCATTCCGAAACTTGAGGGTGAGATGAAGTCTTATTCAAGTGCCGTCGAGGGTATCAGGCAATCAGAGAGTGCCATGGTATTGGACGCTGGTGGCCGATCAGAGAAGGACGCTAACAGTGACCTTTCATCCGTGTCATCAACTTACGCTGAGCGTAAGCTGTCTTCTTCGTAAGTGATAATCCCGTTCAAGTTTGAGCTGCTAACAATCTTTTTCTCAGTGAATCGGGCCTCCCACAAGATGCGGGAATCAATGTCACTCAGTCTGCACACGAGTACCAGTCCTCAGATGTCGGCGTAGCTTCAGCCACTTCCGTGCAAACCTTGGGCCGTCACGTGATAGAGTCCAGAGTCCAGAGTTCTCTGGTCACTATACAAGAAAGACCTTCCTTTCAGTATGTGGCGATAGACGAACCTTGTCAACAATTATCGTATGTAATATCTATGTTATTTATTTTGTCGTCGACTAAGGTTATCCAGCACTCCGAATATTGACAGCAACAAACCATCAGAGTGCGTACACCAGGCTGTGGAGAGCAAAGGCGACCGTCATGAACTGGAGACAGAAAGCAAGTTCAACCTCAGCTTGACAGCAGATTCCCATTCTATCGGGATTGTCGAGCGATCCACGTCGAAGACTGTGGTATCGAAAATTCATGGACCAATGGATCAGAACACCAATGCCCCTGCGTTCCATTTGTCCCAAATGACCACGCTGCCTCCTTCGTAAGTGACATACCATTTGAGCATCTGATATTGGGGTAAACCTCTCCCAGTGACCAGGGTATCCCACAGGGTGCGGAAGCCGAATTTATACAGTCTCAATGCGAACACCAGTCTTCCACTGGGGTCGACGCAGCTTCAATTGACCTCGTGCAGACCTCGAACTATGATTGCTCAACTGAGATCCACGAGTACCGATCAGCTCAGTTATTCTCTTGTAGTAACGAGCCTGGAGCAACCTTATCTACCCACGCCTACCTGTCCTTGGAACAGAACAATCCAGATTCACTACCATCCATCAACAAAGCAGTTGAGAATATGCAGGAGTCGAGTTCGGCCAATGGAATTTCAAAATCTTTGACATCAACGACATATCAGAGCCATTCTCTTGTCGCCAGCACGCACGAAAAATTTTGTGGCCAAGATATGACCAAGGACCAGCCTAATCAAAGTTCATCGTACGTAGTTCCTACTATACTACGTTCACCCTTGGCTAAGACTGTCCAGCTCCCCAAAGTATGAGGCTGATGAAGAGGGTGTGACAGCAGATCGCATGCACCAGGCCATCATAGAGTTGAGATGCGAGTCCCAGTCTTCAGATGTCAACGAGGTGTCAAAGACTTTTGAATCGGAGCACACCTGGCTGTCTCTTTCGTAAGTGACAACCTCATTCAAGTTCGAGCTCCTTATAATCCATCTTTGACAGCGAACCGGGTGTTCCACAGGATGCGGGAATCAATTTCATTCAGTCTGGACGAGAGCACCAGACCTCAGAGATCAACGTAGCTTCAACGACTTTCGTGCGAACCTCAAGCCATCACTCAATTGAGAACAGAGTTCATAGTTCTCTAGCCACTGTGCAAGAAGGACCCTGGTGCCAACCTCGTCAAAGCATTGGAATGCTCGGGCGATCGACATCAGACACTGACAGCGAACAATGATAGGCGGATGGACAAGGACGCCGAAGACACTGCGTTTCCCCTGTCCTCGACTACTATAAGGTCTAAGCTGTCAATCGCGTAAGTAGTGCGCTATTTGAATTTCTTACGGTGGAATAATATCTTTGCAGTGAGCCAGACATTCTACATGATGTGGTCACCTCGTCAAAGGTCATTACGACCTTAACGGATTCCATGCAGACTTCGAGTTATAGGTCGACTGTGAACAATGAACACGTCTACCAACAGCCAGCCCGAGACGAGTCCCCCATCAACCAATCGCAAACAACTACCCCCATCCACCTGTTCTCGGTACCTGGAGAAAACAATTCAACTCCAGCACAGCCCTTCAGCGTAGCATCATCCAAGAACACGCAGCAACCGAGTCCAGCCTTTAATAGTCCAGATTCATCTTTACCTGAAGGCGTGCCCACGACAGGTCAGACCTCTTCTCCGGCCACTTACGAATGCGGGGAACCCTGCGGTCGAGATGAGGCTAGAGACCTGCCTAGTCAAGGCTCCTCGTACGTTGTATCTACTTCTACTTTGCGCTTGCCCTCGACTTAGAATTGTCTAGTACACCAAAACTCAGGGACGACAAAGAGGACATATCGGCACACTGCACGTTCCAGGGTATTGTCTCGAATTCGGGCGACCATCTTGCGCCATACGCTGAAGGAACCCTAGGTGTAAAAGCGGGAGAAGACCATTGCCTGAAGGCAGGACCAACAGTCACATCTGTGACTTGTGATTCAATCACCGTCCAATGCTCATCTCAGACGAATCAAGAAAATACTTCATGTGCTGCTGACACGAGACGATGTGATGCGCTGGGGAATGCGTGTGATACTTGCTCAATACCATCAGATGACTGCGGGGCATGTACAAACACGGTGCCTAATGATTGTCCCCCGGCCGATGGACAGTTCACACAAACTGCTGCTATCGATTGCGCACATGAATGTCCTTCGACTATGGACTCCTTACCAGTCGAATCGTGTTGTCCTGAACCTAAGGGACCTTCTTCGTACGTGTCGTACATTTTGAGGCTTGATATTGTAATAAACTTTGTGCAGAGAGCCCTGTTGTGACGTCATCAAGAAATCAAGTTCAGGCGATTGTTGTCATCCTGCGCCATGCACTGAAGGAACCTTAGGTGTGAAGGTCCGAGAAGGCGATTGCACGAAGGCAGAAACAACAGTCACATGCAATGTGACCTGTGATTCAAACACCGAATGCTCATCTCAGACGGACAATAAAGACAATACTTCATGTGCTGCTGACACGAAACGATGTGGTGCGCGGGACACCTGCTCAACACCGTCGGATGATTGTGGGGCATGCACAACCACGGCGCCCAATGATTGTCCCCCGGCCGATGAACAGTTAGCACAAGCTGCTGCTACCGAATGCGCATATAAATGTCCTTCGACCATGGACTCCAAACCATGCTGTCCTGAACCTAACGGACCTCCTTCGTACGTGTCAT